GCATCTTATAAATGTGTGTTTCCTTTTAGTATGGCTGGTCTAAGAACCGTAACAATAAACTGAACTGAACAACTGTTTTCAGGGAGACACAAAAATCCTCAGGGAGACAGAGAAGTAGTAAAAAGGTGTCATTTATTTCGTTTGCTGCAGTATTGTTTTGGAGAACAAAAAGAAACACTCTTCTTTCATATGTCCACTGTGTTGTAATTTTTACATTGAAAGGAACATTCCAAGTGTTTGTTTAATTCGATTTGTATCCCGCCCTCCCTGCCAAGGCAGGCTCAGGGGTGGCTTACAAAAAAAATATTAAAACACAGATGCAGTAACACAGTGCAACATCATAAAACTCAGAAACATGACAGGACACAAATACAGATAGTGCTGGTGGTGGTAACATCTCAATAGGCCACGTTAAGGTGGTAACAAAGGCATGGGCAAATTGGTGTCCAGAATATCACAGGCTGTTGATGTTAATGTTGACATAGAGGGCCTTAACCGTAGTAGCAGCTCCTCATCAAAGGCCTGGTGGAAGAGCTCCATTTTACAGGCCCTGCAGAACTGTAAAACGTCCTGCAGGGCCCTGATGTCTTCCGGGAGCTCATTCCACCAATGTGGAGCTGCCACTGAGAAGGTCCTGGCCCTGGTAGAGGCCAATCTGGCATCTTTCGGTCCAGGGAGCGCCAAATGGTTTTGAGACCCTGACCTCAGTGCTCTCTGGGGAACATGTGTGAAAGGTGGTCCCTCAGGTAGGCAGGCCCCAGACCATATAGGATTTTAAAGGTCAAAACCAGCACCTTGAAGCGAATCTGATATGCTATTGACAGCCAGTGCAATGACTTCAGCACAGGCTGGATGTGCTCTCGCATAGGGAGACCCATCAGCAGCCTGGTTGCCGCATTGTGCACCAGCTGCAGCTTCCAGATTTGGGACAAGGGCAGCCCCATGTAGAGAGTCCAGTCTTGAGGTGACCATTGCATGGATCACTGTTGCCAGATCATTGTGTTTGAGAAAGGGAACCGACTGCTGAATCAGCCAAAAATACTAAAAGGCTGCCTTGGCAGTGGCTGCTACCTGGGCCTCCATTGTTAAGGAGGCATCCAGGAGCACTCCCAAGCTCCTGACCCTTGGCACTGGCACCAGCGGTGCCCCATTGAAGGCCAGTAGTGGGATCCCTATTGCCGGTCCGCTCTGACTCTGGCACAGGACCTCTGTCTTCGTCAGATTCAATTTCAGTCAGCTCAGTTTAAGCCAACCAACCACATACTATAGTGCTCAGTCCAGATCTTTCAGGGTAAAGTTGGACTGACTGCCCAACAATAGATAGAGCTGGGTGTCATCTGCATATTGGTGACACCCTAGCCCATGCCTCCGGGCAATCTGGGCAAGGGGGCACATATAGATATTAAATAACATTGGGGCACTGCCCCTTGGGGCACTCTTCAGATCAGTGGGTGCCTTTGGGACAGCTGATCCCCAAGAGCCACCCTTTGTCCCCGACCTTGGATAAAGGAGATGAGCCATTGCCAGACAAGCCCCTGAACCCCAGTGTCGGCGAGGCAGTGGATCAGTAGCTGATGGTCGACCGTCTGGAAAAAAATATGCCTTTTTTTTGCATATAAATGCTGGAAAAATAAAGCAGTGTAAAATAAATGAATGAAATGGGGATCCAGAGGTTTATAGTTTGTGTACTTCCTCTGAAATAATTCAGGGACATAAACCGACATACACGTATAAAAACTTGAGTTAGATTAGTTGGACATCTGAATCTGATAAAATTAAAAAGCATGGAGGCATCGTGCCTTCTTATATGTGTTCTAAAATAACAGTAATTGACTGTAGTCCAATAATAAATTGTTTGCTTAAAATGATTGATTTCAATGGGATTAAGTGCGCTTTGCTGTGTTTTGGATTGTGACCATCTTTTCTACGTGACATTCCCTTTTTCTAGTGTTGGGAGTAATGCAGTTTCCATTTGGCTTAAGATTGGTTTAGGCTTGATTGGTTTAGGCTTGATTTTGATGTCTATCCTGCAGCTGGTGGATGCTGAATACAAGTGACTGCAGTAGACTGACAACTGTTCTTATCAGTATAGGCCGAGTTCAGACTGGCAGTTTGTCAAACTAACACAGAAAATAGATTGGAAGAAATGTACAGAAGCAAAAAAATGGCATTTTCATACATGCTTAGTTTGTTACAGCTAGATTATGTGATACAGAACAGCTTTAGGAGAGCTGAAACAACATCAGTTCCACCTCATCAGTCTGGACTTAGGGTTCCTTCCAGAGTCAATTCCAGTACCTCAGAGGTAATACAGTAGATCTTACCTGAGGAATAGATGTGAGAGCTAGAGTAAAGGGCCAGGGCAGGGTGTGTAGAAGAGAGCTAAAAGCAGGATGCACAGGCAATGGACATCAGAAGTTCAAGTTGTATAGTAATTGTTCTGTTTCATAGATGGAAAGTAGTGGATTTACTCATTTATACTGCAAGATTGATGAAAGGTTGTTAGATACTAAACAATGCTGTAGAAGCATATTTCTTTTAGTTGGATCTAATATTTCTCTATGTGTATGAGTGGTTTCTAGGCATAGCATTCAGATGAGTAGAACCAGTTTAATGACCTGAGTTCTTGACATTGTAACAAATGGTTTAAGTAGCAAGAAATACACAGTGAGATCTGGAAGTATATAGTTGTCATTGTTGATGTCTACAAAGGTGCAAACAAGATTGCTAGAAATCCTCCTTCGAATGGAGTATCCTTTATTTGAGACCATTACAGAATTTGCAACCCTCCTTTTCACAGTCTGCCATTTTATTTATTTATTTATTTACTTTATTTATAGCTTTCTGACGGAGACTCAAGGCTGATTACATGGTGTGGCGTCCTGCTTATTGGGGAGACTGTTTCTCCTTTAAACACTTTCTGTGTACATGAACTTGGTAGATTTCTGCTGCCACCAGGAATTCAAAATTAAAAATCTCTCTCTTTTTGTAGAATGACCTAGGGTCTGGGCACTTTTTCAGTGTGGTTTTGATGTTCATTCAAAATGATTGCATTCAAATTGTAGAAATATATATATCAGTTCAGTAAATACAGAACCCCCTGGGCTCATTAAACACATCACTGGACATACTGTAGTTGCAATAAAGTAGGAAATGCTGGATTTACTTGTCTGTTGGAGATGGTGGAAGATGTTTGTTTGTTTGTTTGTTTTAAAAAATGGCGAAGTATGTGAAGGAGCAGAAACTGAAGATGAGAATAACATCTAGTAGTGAATCAGATGATGAAACTGCAGTCACACGAAGAAACTTCCGTCATTTTCCCTTGGTCAAAATAATTAAATTTGAGGGAAAAAAATATGCCTTTTTTTTGCATATAAATGCTGGAAAAATAAAGCAGTGTAAAATAAATGAATGAAATGGGGAAACTAACACAGAAAATAGATTGGAAGAAATGTACAGAAGCAAAAAAATGGCATTTTCATACATGCTTAGTTTGTTACAGCTAGATTATGTGATACAGAACAGCTTTAGGAGAGCTGAAACAACATCAGTTCCACCTCATCAGTCTGGGCAGTCACACTAAACATTTAAAGAAACACACACACCAAAAATGGAATTATTACACATGGCATAAGAGATTTATGAACAATGTAGTAGGACTAGGAGTACAAAAATTACAAACAGTGCAAAAAAGGATCAGACATTATATGTCAGTGATGCAGAAAGTAGAAAATAATGCAATAGCAGCAGTATATTGCACTTCCCTTCTGCCAACACTAATAGACAGCCAGTTAAGAAGAAGGTTCATTTACACTGTGAACCAATGCCATTAAGTGGTCATATAGTGCAGGTTTTGTTCCATTGTAGACTGATGAGATCATCTAGGCTTTTTCTGGTAGATATGCATTGCAGCCACATAAACTGGACTCTACTCTTCCCATGGTAATAATTGCTGTCTGTACTTTGCAGTTGTACAAAAAACAGCAAGAGACTCATATTTACCTTGGACATCAAAATATCCCCCTCCTCGCTCTCACTGTCTTCCCATGTCTCATGTTCACTATTTAATATTTTTATGTAAATCAGAAGAATCAAACTGTGTTAATAATTCACATAGGATTGGAACAAAATACATCTATTAGCCACCCATGGTCCCCATCTACGGATAGCTAAATCCATGAATTGGGGTTATGTGGAGGCTAAACAGATCTTTCTGCACACTTGGGGGACTCCCCAGTTGTGCAGAAAAATCTGAAAATTAAAGAAATACACAGGGGTTTTTAAATTCTCCTAAAAGTACAGTAGCATTCTCTGCACAAAGGCAGAGAATGCACATACCTTTGGCGGTGGTGGTGCCAGGCAGCTGCACTGGGTCCAGAGGTGGCAGTGGCTTCAAGCCTGGGGCTCCATGCTGGACTCAATGGTAGTGGTGGTGGCTGCACAGCTCAGGGCTCCATGCTGTGCCTAGTGGTGGCAGCTGCACAGCCCAGGGTCCCGCACTGGGTCCAGCAGTGGCCATGGCTACACAGCCCACAGCTCTGCACTAGGCTCAGCAGCAGTCACACAGCCTAGGAGCCATGCTGGGCATCCTGCCACTGGCACAACCCAGGAGATGCACCAGGCATACGCCATTCCAGCCCAGGACACCTTCTGGCCATACTGCTGAAGCCTGGGAGCCATGCTAAGCATGCTGCTGCTGGCTGCACAGCTTCAGAGTCATGGCCTGGAAGTCGCTCTGGTAGTCTGCAGGCCTGGTAGGAAAGTGGAGGGTGTGTGTGAGGGAATCCCCCCCCTGAGTATTGTGGGCCTTCATGTGTATTTTACATTCCAGATGTTTTTTCCAGGCTCAGAACCCTGTTCATACTAAAGAGAGATCCTGCAGACTCATGTTTGCAAAAAGTGCATATGCAGTATCCATGACTACAAAAAACATGGATTAGCTTTGGGATAGTGGAAAATGTAAATGTGTTCAAATTATCTTATTTTCTGTATTTGTCCAGGGTGCTTTGAGTGCTGCATCAAGTGCTTGGGGGGCATTCCCTATGCCTCATTGATCGCCACCATCCTGCTGTATGCTGGAGTTGCACTCTTCTGTGGCTGTGGTCATGAAGCACTCTCGGGAACTGTCAACATTCTTCAAACCTATTTTGATATGGCAAGAGCTGCTGGGGACACTATTGATGTTTTTACCATGTAAGTCCCTGCTTAACCTTTTGTAACTTTGCTTCTGTATTGCTGCTACTGAAGAAGCTAAAAATACCAATCCCTCCCCTGTCCCAATATATCTGGCAGAGTGAATATAAAAGGTTATTCAAAATTTGTCTGAATCCATTTGATAATAGTTCAATATGCCATCATTCTCTGCACAAAGGCACATACCTTTGGCGGTGGTGGTGCCAGGCAGCTGCACTGGGTCCAGAGGCAGCAGTGGCTTCAAGCCTGGGACTCCATGCTGGACTCAGTGGTAGTGGTGGCGGCTGCACAGCTCAGGGCTCCATGCTGCGCCTAGTGGTGGCAGCTGCACAGCCCAGGTTCCCGTACTGGGTCCAGCAGTGGCCATGGCTACACAGCCCACAGCTCTGCACTAGGCTCAGCAGCAGTCACACAGCCTAGGAGCCATGCTGGGCATCCTGCCACTGGCACAACCCAGGAGATGCACCAGGCATACGCCATTCCAGCCCAGGACACCTTCTGGCCATACTGCTGAAGCCTGGGAGCCATGCTAAGCATGCTGCTGCTGGCTGCACAGCTTCAGAGTCATGGCCTGGAAGTCGCTCTGGTAGTCTGCAGGCCTGGTAGGAAAGTGGAGGGTGTGTGTGAGGGAATCCCCCCCCATGAGTATTGTGGGCCTACACTTGTATTTTACCTTCCAGATATTTTTTCCAGGCTCAGAACCCTGTTCATACTAAAGAGAGATCCTGCAGACTCATGTTTGCAAAAAGTGCATATGCAGTATCCATGACTACAAAAAACATGGATTAGCTTTGGGATAGTGGAAAATGTAAATGTGTTCAAATTATCTTCTTTTCTGTATTTGTCCAGGGTGCTTTGAGTGCTGCATCAAGTGCTTGGGGGGCATTCCCTATGCCTCATTGATCGCCACCATCCTGCTGTATGCTGGAGTTGCACTCTTCTGTGGCTGTGGTCATGAAGCACTCTCGGGAACTGTCAACATTCTTCAAACCTATTTTGATATGGCAAGAGCTGCTGGGGACACTATTGATGTTTTTACCATGTAAGTCCCTGCTTAACCTTTTGTAACTTTGCTTCTGTATTGCTGCTACTGAAGAAGCTAAAAATACCAGTCCCTCCCCTGCCCCAATATATCTGGCTGAGTGAATATAAAAGGTTATTCAAAATTTGTCTGAATCCATTTGATAATAGTTCAATATGCCATGTTTCTTTCAGTATCAATATTTCTAGTAATTCCATAATAACTTTGCACTTATATAGAAAACTACTAATCATAGTTAGTAAAGAGGACCTCCATTATTCAGAGGAAGTAAACCTCTGAAAGCCAGTGCTAGGAGGCAATAGCAGGGGGAGGGCCTCAGCCTCTACGCTCTGTTTGTTTGGCCCTCCAGGCAGCTGGTTGGCTCTTATGTGAAGCAGGATGCTGGACTACATGGATCACTGATCTGATTCAGCTTGGATTTTCTTATGCTTTTAACTTACCATTCTGCAAAATTTAATTATAACTTTCAATTTCTTTAAAAAAATGTGTTAACTAACTGTAGATGATAAAAGACAGAGCTGCACAAATTATTAAGTTCTATTTCAATGGTTAAACAGCTTTATTGGTAAGTTCTGAGTGTGTCCCATTTTAAATCAAAATAAATCAAACTATATTTGTTATTAGGTTAGATTTGGCTTTACAAACACATACGCTTATGAACATACAAAGTTGCCATATCATCAGGTCATTCATCTGATTGGTTCAATAGTACCTATTTTGACTGGCTACAGCTTTCTGGGGTCTAGAGTAACCAACCTCCAGGTGAGACCAGGAGATCTCCTGAAATTACAACTGATCTCCAGGCTACGGAGATCAGTTTCCCTGGAGAAAATGGCTGCTGGGGGGTTGACTCCATGGCATTATAGGTGTCCTTCCCCTCTCCAAAACTTGCCTTTCCCAGGCTCCACCCTCACATCTCCTAGAATTTTCCTTCTCAGAGTTGGTAACTCTAGGTCTTAGTAAGACACAGCGAGGGGAAAACAAACCTGACCCAAAAACCGGAATCGAGAACCAAAAGGGTGAGAAGAAAATCTAATGAAGGGCCAATATTAAAAACCTTGTTAAAACTTATAATATACAAAAATACATGTATTTATTAGAAAGACAGTTAAAAACATACATAAGAGCCCAATGAAAGCCTCGTAAAAAAGTAATCCCTAAACACAAGGGCCAATACACATGACCTAGCAAGGAGCATAATAAAAATGTGAAGAATTCAAAGGTAACAATAGGGTTGCCAAGTGGCACTCACCTCCTCCGCGGGGGACTCCTGGCTGGCTCCCGGTGCGTGCGCACGCAAAGCACGCGCATGCCGCATGCACGTCACTAGCAAGTGACGTTATGACGCCGGGCATGCTGGGGGCGGGGCCACAACCATACAAGGGAAAACCATAGAGTTTTCCCTTGTATGGCTGTGGCCCCGCCCCCAGCGTGCCTGGCGTCATAGCGTCACTTCCTGGTGATGCGCACGCTGGGGCGGGGTTCCCCCCAGGGCCTGATTCCCCGGCGTCGGGGAACGGGCCTCTGGGGCGGGGGTTTCCCTGCCCCCTGGGTCGACTTGGCAGCCCTAGGTAACGATAAATGTTTTTTCTCACTCAGTCTGTCTTTTACTATATAGTTGATACCTAGCAGTTCTTTCAGTTACTAGGGAGCTAAGTATCTCTTCAAAAATAAAATGTTGAGTAGGTGCTCAGTATCCTCCTTGTTTTAGAACTCTTATATTTTTTAATGAACATTGAAAATTAGATTTAAGTGGCAGATGTAAATTTGGTGCTCTGAAGATGGTGGGTTACAATAAAAATTTTAAAAATATGTGGACAATTAATTTTAAAAAAATGAAACTAAAAATACAGATATTGAGATCACACAAATTGATCTAGTTATATTTTAAAAGCCCTTTTAAAACCATTCAGCCTTGCAGCAGTGCCAGAAATAAATCAAAGCAGGGGCCCTGCTCATCCTCAGGAAAGCCATTCCACAATGCCGATCCCACTGCAGAAAAAGCCCCAGCCTGAGCAAGGCGAAGTTGAAACTTGCCTACAGGTTGAAACCCAGAGTAGGCCTTGAATAGCTATCTGCAACTGTCATTGGGGAGTATACAGGGAGAGGCAGTGTTGTAGATAGGGGGACCCAGACCATCCAGAGCTTTAAAAGTAAAAACTAATACTTGAACTGTGCTCAGAAACAGTCAGTGCAACACTCACAAAGTAAGTGCAATATGAATATTTTTACTGGGTCCAAGGAACAGTTGAGCCATGGCATTTTGCCCCAGCTAAAGTTTCTGAGTAGTCTTCAATGGTAGACCCACATAAAGTGTGTTAGTAGTGTCTTGCCCAGGGGTCATTTCGTAGAAAAAGAGCTAGGGGGACTCATTAGCATAACTCATTAGCATATGCCACACCCCCTGACATCACCGGATGTGTGTCCTCCCCACAGCCGGCGGCGACCTCCAGCGGGCACCAGCAGGGAGCTCCAGGCCCCGCCCTCCCGCACCTCACCCAGGGGGATGGCGTCCCCCCACGTCCCCCCCCAAATGACCCCTGCCATGTATCAACAAATCCTTATCAGGTTTAATTTACAAACGAAGCCCAAAGGAGGAAAAATGGACTCTTGACCTCTTCACTGATTTGCTTCTCTAGTGAAAGAGATGGATCCAACCATACTGCAAAATTCCTCACTGAGTGCAACAAAGCTAACTGGACTTGGTCAAAAGTTGAGAGGATCACACTCTGGAAGAACACTATGCTCAGGAAATAAGAACTTCCTGGTGGTCCCTGGCCCAAGAGAAGTCTGGCTGTCCTCAACCAGGGCCAGGGCTTTTTCAGCCCTGACCCTCGCCTAGTGGAACACCAGAAGACATTCATGCCATTTGGGAGTTGTTACCTTTCTGCAGGGCATGCAAAGCAGAGATGTTCCACCAGGCCTTCAGTTGAGAACAGCAACAGGGTGTCATTTGGCACTCTTACATAAGTCCCCATCCCCGTAACCCCTCCCCCTAGGGAGGCTGGGGAGTTGGAATTCTTTCCGCCATCTCATATAGGCTGTTTTCCACTATCTCATAGATGCTGTTTTATGTATTGGTATTTATTAGGCTATTTTAATTTAGTTTTAAACTGAGATTTGTATATTTATTCTGTTGTAAGCTGCCCTAAACCCTAAGGAACGGCGGTCTAGTAAATCTAATTTAATAACTAACTAACTAAATATTCTTGTTGGGGTTAAGCTTTGGCTTGTTTTCAGCGTCTTGACCATGGCTGAAACTGAGAGGAACAGGAACATCAGATACTTTGTCAGAATGCGGGTATTTGCTTACCCAACTTGAATGCTCCTTCATGCAAAATAATCCCAACAAAACTCAAGTCTGTATGGAGAAAATCAGAATCAGATGAAGAAGGCGGCTAAACTTCTTCCAGACATGCTACTTTTCTGTATGAGTGTGCTTGTTGATGGTAATAGTATGGCATTCAGGCATGTGAACCCTCACTTGCAGTATGAAATGCAACAGGCCAGACAGATTTATCGTTTCAGAGAAAAGTAGGTCTTAGTTTAGTAATTCTATTGTTTTAATACTGGTAATCTCTTTCTTTCATTTCACTGCATAGAATCTGGAGATGTATAGCAAATCAGTGTTGCTACTGTTTCCTGTTAGCAAATAGTATGTTATAAAAGTGGAAGAGTCTGGTTATATTTTTGAAATTTGAAACATTTCTTCACTTGTTTAGAATATAGTACATTCTCTAGCAATGTAATGCAGGTTACATGGAAAACTTTCTAATTTCATGCTGTCTGATTTCTAATTTTTAACACCCATGACTGGAAAGTACAACAGTTAAGTCATTCCACATAATAGCTTGAGGATTCCTTCAGCCTTTAATCCTTCAGGATATAATAAAACCAGAAATGGCTCAGTAGTAATGCCGGGGGGGGGGTTAGTTCAAACACTGTGCAAAACCATGGTTTACTTTAACTTTGGTTAGTATGATTGAACATAGGCCACTATGGTTAATTAGGTCCAGCTGAATCCTGGTTTAATTCTGTGTTGTACTCTGGCAATACCATCCCAGACAACAAGAGAAGGACGTGAAACCAGCAACTGTTGACACAAACCTAGATTTGAGGATCTGAGGAAGTGTGTGTACACCGAAAAGCTCATACCTTGAATAAAACCTTGTTGGTCTTAAAGGTGCCACGGGACTCAAAAGTTGTTCTAGATTTGAGTGATTGTCTGTTAGCTGAATCTTGATGTCACAAACTAACTATAGTTGAAATCATGGTTATGAATTATGTCTGAATCAAACAACTGTGTCTTTGATCAGTTTCATTAAATGTATTCTACACAATGTAAAAGATGTAGACAACAGTTTTTAAATGTTCAGCAAGCTGGTAAATTTGAGATACCATTCCTATTATTTCTATTGTCTTAATGTACTAAAACAACTTCATATTCTACAGGGCACAAACAATGATGAACTGAATTGGAAAATCTCATAAAAGACTGCAGACCATTTGTTCCAGTCCTGTAGAATAGCAGATTAAAATAACTGGACATTGTTTAATTATACAGGGGCCTTGCAGAGACAATAAACCATTTTCTTATTGTCAAAGTAAATAGTCTGAAAGGTGTACTTCAGTTAGCATGCTAGGAACCAAATGCTTTTTAAAAGGAATTCCCACTGGGAGAAAGTAAACTCAAAAGGGCACTTCTGGACCATTTGAAGAAACACTTTTAACCTTTCATTAAGGATAATAATAGTAATTGACATTATTGACTCCAAGCAGCAGCTCAGAACATCAATAGCATTTTCAGAATTAGTTGGAAAAGAAAGGTGGAGCTGGGGATCATCCACATATTGGTGACACTGCAGCTCAAACCTCCCAATGACCTCTCCCAGTATAGGTATTACATGGTATGGAGGATTAAGATGGAACCTGTGGAACCCCACAGGCCAACAGCCATGGGGCAGAGCAGGAATCCCCCAGCAACACCTTCTGAGACTGACCCTCCATATAAAACTCCAACCACCGAAACAACAGTGCTTCTTAGTCCCAGTGCTGAGAGGTAGCTCAGTAGGATACTATGGTTGGTAGTACTAAAGGGTACTGAGAAATCCAGGAGAACTAACAGGGTCACATTCCTCCTATTTATTTCTATTATTGGCCCTCCTCTCTAATTGTGGTACTGTGTATATTTCTTTGTTTATATTTTCTTATTGAATTGTTTACTTTAGATATACTTTATTTTTAATTCTGTTTTAATGTTTAAATGCTTTGATATTCACCTTCTATTTAGGGTTGTCAGGTCTCACCTTTGCTGTCGCGGGGGTTTCCTGGCACCTTGCTGGGACTCTTCTGACGTGTGCGCAAAGACATCACCAATAGTGACATCATCACACTAGGGCTGTTGTGTGGCAACACTTTAATGTCCAGGGCAAAAATTCTATGGTAACTGTAGAGTTTCCCCTGAAGGCTAGAATGTCGCTGTGCAATGGCCGCAATGTGATTATGTCACTACTAGTGATGTCATTGCATTGCCAGCATTCCCATGGGATGCTGCTATGTGGGGGTGGAGCTTTCCCCACTGGCCAGCTGGCCGACAGTGGATTGGGGCCCCCGAAATTGGGGGATCCCCTGGCCCTACCAAGGGGATGGCAACCATACTCCTATTTGGGTGGGAAGATGGCATAGAAATGTTTTAAATAAATAAATAAATCCTCCCTTCTTGCCTACATGGTCCTTATTTCAATCTTGATTGTATATGCACACCATTTACCTTTTCAGGGAAATATCAATAGAGACCTTCAAACAAACACTTCTTATGCTTAATTTGATAGCTGAGTAGCTAATTATAAGAATGTAAATGCCATAAGGTAGCATTCCACAAACAAAAAACAAACAAACAAAAGGAGCATTAACATCAGTCTTGCTAACAGCCCATCCCAGTTTTGGGTAGGGCTGTAACTCAGTAGTCTTCTTAGCATTTAGAAGGTCCAAGGTTCAATCCCTGGCATATCCACCAAAAATGAATCAGGAAGAATGTGAGGTGAAAGATCTCTCTGCTATCCTGGAGAGCTACTTTCAGTCAAAGCAGACAATACTGACCTTGATAGCTCACATTTCTGCTTCAGTGAGGCAGCTTCTTGTGTGCGTGTTTGTTTGTTCTATTGATATGCAGCCGGTTCATAATTCACTGTTATGAACACCTTAATCCTTAAAGAGAATTGTGCCTGTGGAAGCTTAGTAAACATGTGCCCTCATCATTGGAAACACACTTCTATCATGTCCACAGACTCCATTTTTTTCAGACATTACAGTATTCATCTAGGATGGGGGGAGAAGCAGCACATAGTGAACGTGCTGCAAATACTGTGTGGCATTGGCTTTGAGTTCTGTGTTGTACGTGCCAGTTTGTGTGCTTGGCTCATGCAGGAAGGTTTGTACTTTTGAAAAATTCACTGCATTCTGTGTTGACAGGCAAGCTAAGCAAGTGACAGGGCAATCAACCAAGCCTCTTTGCCATGCTGCCGTCTTGAATTAAGGATTCACTCATCCCCCAAAAATGTATGCTGAAGTCAGCCCTGAATCCCTGGGGAAGTTCTGGGTTGTGAAGAAGTTTCATTTACTGAAACAGTCTTCCAAAATATGGGTTGGATCCTGCACTGTCTTTCTGTTGGCCCAAATAATCAATTAAGGATGAGGAACATGAGTCTTGCCTACGGGATTCGTTCATATTGAAAATACGGTTTCTTGTCCACCCCACCTCCACAGACATATACGAATATAGCCACACTGAAAGTGACAGAATGTGTTAACTGGATGAACTCATTGCAAGAGTGTTTCCCACTGATCTACCCAAATATTTCAGCAATTGATGGTTTGTGTTGTATTTTGCTAAAATTAGTGTTGCACTAATTTTGTTCAGAGTGCTGGTTCTTTCCTGTATGGCCCTAAATGGTTTGAGGCCTGGATGCTTGAAGAACCACCTCCTCCCATATTGTCCAGATCACATGTGTTTTTCAAGCCCTGCTCTCTGTGCCCCACCTGCAGGTAGGATGGTTGGGCTTTTTTCAGTGGTGTCATCTTGCCTTTGAACACCCTCTCCTTTCATGCTCACTTGGGGTCTACTTTCCTTTAAGGGCTGAGCCAAAACCCAGGCTTTGAACTAAGAGGATCCATCTTTATATATGTTTTATTGCCTACTCCTATCCTGAGGACTGTTTTATCTGTATCATTTTAAATGCTCCTTTTTGTGGGATTTTATTTCCCATTGCTTTTATTGGCAGTTTTTCCAGTTATTGACGTCTGCTTTTGTTGATCTGTTTTTATTGATAAGATTTGTTTGTATTGTTTTTACTTTTTCTTTGGTTTTGTTTTATTGTGATCTGCCTTGAACAAGCAGCATTAATTTTTCTAAATAAATAAAAATGTGGTTGTGGGGGATGTGTGGCATTTGGGTTGTACAGAGCCCTGTAACATCTGATAAACAGAGTATGCTTTGGATGACTTTCAGGGAAAAGCATCTTTGTTTCTTGTGCATGCATTTCATTGGCTGTATGGTTTATAATCCTGAGTTCAGAATCAACATTAATACCTTGGTAATTTGAAAACCTTTCACTCTTCTTACTCAGGATTGACATCTTCAAGTATGTGATCTATGGAGTAGCAGCTGCCTTCTTTGTCTACGGCATTTTGCTGATGGTAGAGGGGTTCTTTACAACTGGAGCCATCAAGGATCTCTATGGGGACTTCAAAATCACCACCTGCGGCAGATGTGTCAGTGCCTGGGTATGTCAATATGACAGTGTTGAGTACTTTTACTAATTTCAGCTGGTTCAGAGTGATTTAATTGATTCATACTAAATTGTATCTCTGGGGAATGTATGCCCTTTTCTTAAATATATGGATTTCACAGATATACCATAAAGGTTTTGTATATGTATGGACCAGGAAGGTGATCAACATCCCTTTCAGACAACGGCCAACTCCTCATTCATCTCTTTTTAAATCAGAGTTGAGTTGTTACTTAAGACCACATTGCTTTCATAAAGCAATTACTTATATGCGTACCAAGACCACAGGGACTCAGGCATGTGCTGCTAAAAACAAAGTGCCGGTATATCCTTCCATTTGCCTGTTTCAGTGGAATTGCCTTTGAAACTTTTACAATGTATGCACTTCGACTGTGGTGTTCGAAGAGATACACATTCACATCTGCTGTTACAGGCACTCACACAACAGTCTGAAACAAGGACATAAGGCAAGAAGAAAATATGTCCAAACTGCATAGGCGAGCCACCCTCACTCCTGCTGTTTTAAAAAAACAAAGGGGTTCTTGTTTATTTCTTCTTGGCCATTTAAAATAAACCTGCTTCACAGATGAGTCCAGTGACACCTTGAAGACCAACAAAGTTTTATTCTGGGTATATGCTTTTGTCTGCATGCACAATTCTTATTCATTGTGGATGCACACGAAAGCTTATACCCCGAATAAAATATTGCTGGTCTTAAAGGTGCCACTGGACTCAAACTTCATTCAGCTTCTTCAGACCAACACGGCTACCCACCTGAATCTAGTTCACAGGTGTTAGTTTGTGTATCTGAGAATATTAAACTTCTACAGATAGGGGGAATACAGTCAGCTGGCAATTTTTAGGCTCCACTGGCTAAAGGAAGCCATGATGAAGGTATAGTTGTTTCAGAAAACTTTTTCTTGAAATATCTGATAAAATCATAAACTTCCGGATTCATTGGTTTGAGTGTGGACATGCATCCTTTTGTGTATTAAAATACATGTAATTAGAGAAAGGCAATAATCCCTCAGTCCACTAACATGATGCTTACATTTGTAAGGGGGAAAAAAGTGGATATAATCACTGGTAGTTGTTTATTATTATTATTGTTATTTAAATTTCTATCCCACCCTCCCCACAGGGTGGGCTTAGGGCAGCTCACATTCAGTGGCACCATGTGCCGGGTCATATAAAACATATAAATACATAAAAATAGGATTAAAAAATCACATATTATACAGTTAAAGTTAAAGTGCTTGCGATGATGGTCAATCCTTCAGTCAGTTAAAGATGGCAGGCTATAAGATGTAAGGCTAAGTCCCAATTCAGCAGTATCCGGTTTCACATGATGCTGTATCTCGATCTCCAAAAAGGGCCAGCCTATTAGCATGATGTTAATAGTAATACTAGTTGGTGATGGTCGTTGGTAGCAGTGGGCGGCTCCTAATTGAAAGCCTGGTGGAAGAGCTCCATCTTGCAGGCCCTGCGGAACTGTCCCAGCCCATTTCTTCATCCTCCTCCACATTTCCGAGCCCAGTCAGGTGCAGAGATTTTTTTTGGGGGGGGGTTCTAATGCAAGGAAGTTTACTCTCCAATGTAGTCATTTCCTCCAGGGTGATGCTCTGTATTCTTGGTGCTTGGGGGGCAACACTGGGAGGGCTTCTGGAGTTCTGGTCCTGCTGGTGGACCTCCTGATGGCACTTGGGTTTGGGCCACTGTGTGACACAGAGTGTTGGACTGGATGGGCCACTGGCCTGACCCAACATGACTTCTCTTATATTCTAACTCAGTGTGCTGCAGCATTGAAAAAAAGTCAAACTCTTAAGGTAGGGATGATTAGGAAAGGGATTGAGAATGAAACATCTGAGACTGTAATGCCCCTGTACAGATCTATGGGGTGGATCTGTTGTATGGAACAGTGGTCATGGAGGGTGTGGAGGGGGAGGTATTTGAGTATTTCTTGCATCATCATCATCATCATCATCATCATCCTCCTCCTCCTCATCATCATCCATTCGATTTATAGACCGCTCTGACCCCGAAGGGTCTCTGAGTGGTTTACATGCAGGTTCCAAATATCACTATTCCCTAACTAAGGCCACATAGTATACAAGTGGTGGGGCTGCCTACCGGCACCCAGGTGGCAGGGCTTGCTGTTCTCTGGCTCCGGCTCCTTCCTCCAGGCGGTCTTTCGGGGTGGGCGCCCCCGTCCCTGGTGTCCACGAGCAGGTCCTCCAGCTTGGTGGTTTCTTTCCGACGGGCCCACCCTGGCGCGTGGGGTTCATGTCGATCATGGCCCGGACAACGTCCATTTTTGGCTACGTCGCGCCTGCGCCTCCACGTCACCGCACCTTTCCACGACTCTGCCTCTGCCTCCGTCATTGTCGGGTTCCACCCCTCGATGTTACGCTTACTGGCACAAGGGATCGCCTCGCCAATCTCGCCGCTGCCGCTCCGCTGCTTTACCACTCCGCCGCCGCTGCTGCTGTTTCCGCCACACACCTCACATGGAGGAAGGTGCCCCCTGCCACCTAAGGGCAGGTACCCATTTATCTACTCGCTATGTATATTTACTGCTTTTGAACCGCTGGGTGGGCGGGATCTGGGCAAGGGGGTGCATGTAGATGTTAAACACCATCGGGGAAAGCACTGCCCCCGAGGCACCCCGCACTCAAGTAGGTGCCTCCGGGACTGCTCCTCCCCTATCGCCACCCTCTGTCCCCAACCTTGGAGAAAAGAGGCAAGCCATTGAAGAGCAGGCCCCTGTATCCCCACGTCGGCAAGGCGGTGGGTCAGCAACTGGTGGTCGACCGTATCGAACGCGGCCGACAGATCTAACAGCAACAGTGCTGCCACACCACACCCCGATCCAGGTGCCCTTGGAGGTCATCAGTAAGAGCAACCAGCGCTGTCTCCATCCTGTGTCCCGGGCGGAAGCCAGACTGGAAGGGATCTAAGACAGAAGCGTCATCCAGAAAGCTCTGTATCTGTATTGCCACCACCCTTTCGATTAATTTGCCCAAATAGAAAACAGTTTAATGAAGATGATAAAACAATTGAGGGCAGTTTATCACCTTAGTATATAAATTCAAGTATATATAGTATATAAATAAACTCAGTATATATAGTATATAAATAAACTGGGGCAAACTGGAATTAAGGTTGTTAATAAAAGGAAAGGGTGAAGGGATTAGCAGAGCTCACCTTCAAGAAATGTAGTGTGCCCGAGGGTGTCACCTTTTTCCACTGTCACTGGTCACACATTTGCTTGGAAATGGGACGCTACTTCCTGATTCTGAGTATTTTTGCTTGGATGCAGGCTTGTGGGTTAAATTCATCCCATCTTCTCACTCAATTTCATCCAGTTGTTATCCTCACTACAGCCCCCATTCCATGTAGCTATTGTCCATTCAGGTCCCATGACCCCAGCACAGCCTTTTTGATGGCGGAAGAAGACCCCATCCTCCTTTCTCAGCAGTGGAAAAGCTGTTTGGATCCAACCCTGAGTTTTGTTCTCAGATTATGAGTGGGAATTAAGTCCTGTTCATGGTTCATGGGCTATTACAAATTATGATGTTAGAAATAATGAAATGTAACATCTGTATGTCTAGCCCAAATTTCGAGGTTGTTCTATCGATGAAGTAATGAAAATTATGATGAAAATAATTGGAGTTGTCAAATCTCAATTAAGTTGTTGAAAGGTCTAACAGAGACCATACGAAGACCCTGTATTTAGGCATATAATATTAAAGTCTGTAAATTCCAAAATCTTTGTACCACTGTACTTTTAGTCAGGCAGACATCCTAACCTGCCTTTCCCCAGAACGGGAGACAATGAATGGAATGAATGTGGTGCAGTAGGTGGAGTGTTGGACTAGGACCTGGGAAACCCACGTTCAAATCCCCACTTACTGTGAAAGGTGTCCGGGGGCCAGTCACTGTCATCTCCCTCTCAGCCTAGCCTACCTCTCAGAGTTGTAGTCAGTAGTCAATATAAAATGGAGTTGTGACAAGAGCCATGATGCCACCCTGAGCTTCTCAGAGGAAGGGCAGGGTAAAAAAGGACTAAGTAAAGAAATAATTTTGAAAAGTAGCACTGCAAAAATATTTTTGTATATACCCATTAAAATGCTTCCACTGCTATGCAGCCATTTGCCAATCTTTTACAGGCAAATCAGATTCTGTTGTTTCTAGTGTTCATGGATAACTGTGCTTGAACTTTCCCAATTCATTAGCTTGGAGCACTCATTCATAGAGCATGTATTCACAGATAAGTTCCAGAAGAATTGTACTGTTATGTCTTAATACAATAAAGACATGAGTAAGCTTACGCACAGTCCTATATTACAGAGCATTACTTGGACTGTTCTAAAGAGCCTATCAGAGAAGCTTTTGCCTTCGGCAGGAACCACTTTCATTGGTTCCAAGCCCACTATTCCTACTGGTTGTTATCTGTTTGTTGGGTGTGGTTATGGCCGTTCAAATTGTATATAAGTCAGCCTTGTTCTATGTAGTTTTGTCTTGTGTTGTTATGAGCTGAATAAAATGAAATCACTTGTTCAAGAAGCTGCCTTGATCTCAGTTCATAATATGTACTTTTTAAATTTTCCAGATGCTTCATTCATTTTTTCTTATGTTTTTTTTTAAATTATGTCATTCATTAGCATACTTTTAACTCTACATTGTTTATTTATTTATTTATTATTCAAATTTATGCCCCGCCCTCCCAGCCTAGGCCTGCCCAGGGTGACTAATTCATTGTGTTTGTTCCAGAAACCATTAGCAAAATAAATACTGGATTGCTCTGTTGGTATCTGGCCATCCTCTTGTGATTATTATTTTTTAAAAATAATGGTTCTGTGTCATACTACTTTTCCAAATAATTGCTTTGCTGAGTTATTTATTAGTTTATTCACATATGTTTGCAGAAATTTATGACGATTAATAAGATTACAGTCTTTCTGTGTAAGATAGCCATAAATAGGTTACATTTAT